AGCTACTAGTTTCGTCCTTGCTCCTAGTTGCGATGCCCTTTGTTACTCATAGCTTCTTGTTACTAGTAGTATGGCCAGGAGCTACTAGTAGCGTCCTTGCTCCTAGTAGCGATGGCCTTTGTTACTAGTAGCTCCTTGTTACTAGTAGTAAGGCCAGGAGCCCCTAGTTCTAGTAGCGTCCTTGCTCCTAGTAGCAAACCGGACACCATTTGTCTGACGCCTTGAGCCTTGCCGAGTCTGAGAGTGCGATCTTTCAGGACCTCACATCTGAGAGGAAGCGGTCTGATGAAATGCAGCGTGGCGGTCTCAGTCCTTGAACATAGTATTTGCATGTATGCGCCATGTAAATTGCAACGAGCAGCACAAATCGAGAGCAAGTCTGATAGCAATGGAATGCCTGAAGATCACTCAAGCACTTTTGTCTACATGTCCCATAAGAAGTAACATATAGAACAAGTGCAACTGTATAACATCGTATAGAATACAAGATAGTATGAGTATGAGAGTTCGATTGGTCGCTTGGACCACATGTGGACAGGTGTGCTCCTCCGATTGGAACAAGGCCTCTGAGCGCCACAAGGACTTAAGCAGGGCTTACAAAGTCATAAGCCTTCGACATCTTCCACCCTGACGGCACCATGTGGGCTCCAATATGAGCTCACAGTTCTGGCCAGATTGTTCAGCGAGTCATGCCGAAGATCGGCTACCGAAGATGTCAAACCGGCGAATCTGTCAAACCAGCACGCTGAACAAAAAACATGGCAGTCACACAGTCGGGCTCCAGACTGGCTATAATGCTTGGCCAGCAGTACTCGGGATATTTCTTATACCATCTTACACCGAAGGCTGTTTTGAACACGGGCAAAAACGCCACACAGGACTCCATGCGTGTGCAGGTACCCAGGTCAAGACTCAAAGACTCTCAGCATGTGCATCTTTGGCAGGCCCAGACTGCATTGAAAGGCATCTCATCTGAGGATGCCGAATCTTGGGCAGCAAGCAGAAGCACCACAGGGAGAGTTCATCAGCAAGACTGAAGTTTCCTTTTGATTGGAAGCTGGGAATGGTTTTCTTGTGATTAGACATTTAGTGAAGGTCTTACTCCAAGAGCTATATAGGTTCGAGCTGTGAGATGCGAGGTCTTGAAGGATAGATATGGCGCTGAAAGGATCATTTTACACACTCAACAAAGTGATTAAGTAGATGGCCCAAGGGCGCGCCACAGGAATAAAGAGTATCTGAACACACAAAACAGCGGGCCATTGTGTCCGCTTGTGTCCGGGCTACACAACATGTAAATACAATCAAATCCAGGCCCAAATAAGGCACCAAGAACATCCAACACACATCCAACTGTTTGCATTTGTTTGCCTGCCCAAATCAATCCTGGAATGCTGGATTCAGATGCTGAGACGGTTGTGGTGCTTTTCTACTGCTATCAAGACTCCTGTGCCGCGAGCCTGGCAGCAGAGCAGCGGCTGCTTGGTGCAGAGCTGGGCCTTTGTGGGCGAGTGCTGGTCGCAGCAGAGGGAATCAATGGCACAGTTCAGGGAGATGCAGCAGCCATTGCGGTCTATGAAGCTGCAGTCCAGAAATCCTTCTCCAGTCAGATCGACTGGAAAAGGAGCATTGACAAGTCCAATACAGCACTATTCCCCGACTTTGTGGTCAAAGAGGTCAATGAGCTGGTGGGCTTTGGACTTCAAGGATCAGAACCATTGGATGTCGTGGCGGAGTCTGGCACACGCTTGTCGCCACAAGAGTTTCACTCACTTCTGGAAAACCCAGATGAGCTAAGACTCATTGACGTGCGCAACACCTTTGAGTATGATGTTGGACACTTTGATGGTGCGATAGATCCCGGTATGACTCATACTGCTCAATGGCCGCGTTTCGTAAAGAACAACATCCAGGATGTTCAGTAGGGGTTGGAGCGCTCTCTCAGTGAAATGAGTGGTCGGGAGGCTACTGTGTTTAGGATGAAGCGTGCATGCAGCTCATAGGATGATGCGGCTGCACTATGCATTTTAAAGAGCATACAAATTCACAGTAAGAACATGTCTTAATCGAACAAGATCCTGCCATGGTGAGTGGCTACGAATTTAACTCCTTAGAAGAGTTTGCGGATGCCTTTAACTTTACAAGAGAAGGAGAGAGACTGGGGGTGAGAGAGGGCCAGTGACCCAAGCAACTCTTACTGTATGTCCTAAAGTCCTAAGTCCGGCCATGCAACAGTAACAGCGAATATATATATATATTATATATATATGTATACATATAGTATTTTAATAGTGGAAGCTTTGATACATAATCTCACAATACAGGAGACTTCATTATAATTCATTATACGCCAGTTTTCCTTTCGGAATTACTTTGCTGTAGCAGTTTCATTTTCCACCTACGCATGTTGCATGGCAGTTCCAAGAGACCTGTACCGCAAAAGCGGATCAACACGAAGACCTCGTTCAGATCTCGATCTCCAGGACCTCAAGGGGCGAACGGTCATGCTCTACTGCACGGGTGGGATCCGATGTGAGAAGGCCTCTGCCTTCCTCCGACGACGGCTGAAGGAGGACGGAGCTGAGGTATCGACACCGGTGTATCAATTGGAAGGTGGGATTCATCGATACCTTGAGGCTTTCCCCGATGGCGGCCGCTTTCGGGGTGCCAATTTCGTGTTTGACAAACGCGCACAGATGCGTTCCGGAGACGGAACCGTCATTGGGCGCTGCTCCGAGTGCTTGGGACCCTGGGATGCACATCATGGCGGCCGTGTGTGCACCGTTTGCCGCGCATTGGTGCTCGTTTGCGATGACTGCGATGCTTCGAGTGAGCACGGGGAGTACTGGTGCCCTGAACATTCCAATCTGCGAGGAAGCTACTTTCACTTTCTTGACCGTTTTTCTGAGAAAGAACTCCAGGCACAGGCTCAAAGCTTGCAGCTTTTGCTGGACAAAGAGGTTGGCACTCATCGCAAGAATCGTCGGAACACCTTAAGAAAGAAGCTCTTGCAGGTGCAAGATCGACTGGAACATCTTCAGTTGGAGCCAAAACATGGGGAAACTACAGCTGAAGATGCTGAAGTATCAGTCCCTCGTCGGTGCAGGGCCTGTGAGAAGCCATATTGTCAATGTCCGGGCGTGTGCTGGGGCTTCTGGAAAGAGATCGCTCAAGAGTAAAAGTAGACCGATTGATATGGGAAAGAAGCACGTTGTCATTCTCCTAAAGACATCTAAAGACGTGACATGGTGTCCTGTGATTTTTGGAAACACGTTCTGCATGAGTCCACCTGTTGTTAATATCTCCTCCTCCTCCTCCTCCTTCTTGTCAAACTTGTCCTCCTCCTCGCGATCGGGATTTTCATCACGATCACACTCCCCAGGCGGCCTGCTCCTCATCATCAAAGTCCCTCCATCCCTTGAATCATTTTGGTCTTGTGTTTGGACTCCAAGTCTAGATGGAGAGCCGGAGAGCCCTCCATCTCAGCCTCAGGTCAAAATAGAAAACTACCTCACAGACCCCGTTACAGCAGCCGCAGCAGCCTACTGTTTGAAGTCTTCGGACTTCGATCATTTTCGATCTCTAAACCAAGTTTGGCTTCCTATCTTCCCAAGCTGATGTCTAAACCCAGTTTGCTGCTTTCGAATCAGCGTTGGTGAGACAGATCTCCGCCCAGGCCTCTCTCTTGGAGGACTTGAAATCGAGAAACCATGCTGCAACCTCAAAAGCCTAGTGCAATTCTTTGGCCGTGAAGTCTATGCACTCCGACTATGCTTAAGATACCGTTGAAATCCCGTTGAAATCCATTTCACTCTTGGCATCGTTGTTATCGTTTTGTGTTTTGGTGCGAGTGCGAGTGATGTATTTAGTATGTTGCCCCATTGCAAAGAATTGAACTATCAGATACCGAATGACTTTCCAAGAAGCTCTTGCAGCGGTGTGCACTCTTGGTCCAGTCGGTCTAGTCCCTTCTGCTGTACCACCTGTATTTGGGCTCAGGTGAGGAATGCCTCAGCCTGGATTTGTGCCAAGGCCAAGCGTCCGGAACACTCAGCGACCCAAGACAGCGATGGTATGTCGTTTTGGTGAAAATTGAATTATATGCATTTATAATCATATGTAATATATATATATACACATACTGTTACATACATACTGAAAGATAAGAGTTGCACAAGGTCATTCAGAGAACAGTGCTTGCCCACGGGGTCAGGACGTCTTCTTTTTTCTTCACTTGCACCGTGATTTTACGACAAAAGTCTCTTTGATGGTCATGGACTTGCGGCCGCTTCGCATTTCCAAGGAGAAATTGAATGACCATACATTTGGACGACCGGGACCCTTTGTGGCTGGCAAGAAAGACAGAACAATGAAAAGCATGCTGTGAGGTCATGCTGTAGAGGTTAACTGACAGTCAACTGTGTTGTGTGTGTGTTTTCCTATCACTGCTGACACAATAGGGCTAGACTGTTGCTGACCTGTCGTTCACCGCTCGCTGCAATGCAGTACCTCATTGCGCTGGCGGGCTTGGTGGTGTTAGTCTCTGCCGTTTTGGCAGCACTTGGATTCCGGGGCCGGCCGCAGGTTGTCGGCATTGATTTGGGCACCACTTTTTCGGTGGTCGCTTTGAAGGCAACTGATGGAACCGTCTCCATCATTCCTGATCACCTGTCTGGCAAACAACTGCTGCCGTCGGTGGTAACTTACATGTCAAACGGCAAGGTGCTTGTGGGTGATTTGGCCGTTGCTCAGAGAGGCCGGCATCCAGAGCGCACGATTTTCAACGCGAAGCGGTTTATCGGTCGAGAGTTGGGGGAGGTTTCACAGGAGACGGCATCTCATGCCTACCGGGTCTTTGGCAACTTCTCTGACAGCTCCCGAGATCCCAGTGCCAGTGATCCAAAATCATCTGCTGGATTTGGAGTTGAGCTAGATGGACAGAAAGAGAGATGGATATCACCAATTGATGTTGGCGCAGAGGTAGTTGGGCATATGCGACGCTCTGTTAGTCAATATCTTGGGTTTGAGATATCACGCGCAGTGATTTGTGTGCCTGCAAAGTTCGGCTTCAGGGAAACCAAGGCTACGCAGGAGGCCTTTGAACATGCCGGAATGAAAGTGATGCGTATTTTGGAGGAGCCCACAGCAGCTGCAGTCGCCTACAACTTACACAAAGGTGAAGGTGTAAGACACGTTTTAGTTTATGACATTGGCGGTGGCACGTTGGACACCTCCTTGCTGTACATGAACGGCAATTCAGTGAGTGTCCTAAGTGTGGCCGGAGATGACCACCTGGGTGGATCTGACTTTGATGTGCAGATGTTGCGACTGCTGACAAAGAAGCTGGAAGAGGGCCAAGTGCAGATTGCAGATCCCTCTGCGAAGGAAAACTGTGAGAGCTCCGGTTTGCACATTTTAGCTGAAGATTTAAAGATCAGGCTGAGCAGCCAGCTTCAAGCAGAGACTAGATGTCGTCACTCAGATGGGAAGGATCGCGTTTTTGTGGTCACACGTGAGGACTTTGAGAATGCCTCCTCTGAACTCTTTAGCCGTGCAATGGCACCGGTTGAAAAGGTCCTAGATGATCAGATGATGTCTTCAGAGCACATTAGCGATGTGGTGCTGGTGGGTGGTGCCTCCCGGACGCCCAAGCTGCGACAGCTGCTCCAAGACTTCTTTGGACCTTCAAAGCGACTTCATACAGAAATTGACCCAGACATCACAGTGGCCTGGGGTGCAGCCAGTGTTCTTGATTGAGTGAGCTCGTGCGCAAGGCAAGTTAATGAACGGCAGAATCGGAGCTGTTGAGAATGTCCAGCTCTGTCAATTTTGAATGCAGTTGCCAAGTTGCCTCTCATTTGGGAAAATGCAGTGTGCCGCACTGTAGTCAGGCTACCTCGAGTTTGTAGCGACTTTCGATTGGCATGGTTTGGGATTACTGAGAATAAGCAAATTTCACATATTTCACTTCAAGCTGAATCTCTACATTTGCCAATAGGTTCGGTTTGCAATCTGAGGCTTTCCTCAAGAGCAGGCGCAATTTGCGAGTGCATGCTATCAATCATGTTCTTTCATATCAATCATGTTCTTTCATTTTCTCGCTTGATAGAACAATTTTTGGAGGCGACTCAGGATAATGATCAGGTGTGATGAGCTAACGATCATCACCTGCAATGGTATCAATATGAATGTACCATGCAGCACTTGCTACAGCCCGTGCTTGTATCGCCTAGCCATATACATACATAGTAGCCCTTGACGGGCTTGTCAGAGTGGCACCAAAAGTACGTTTTTGATGAAGCGTTATTGCAGCACACCCAGTAACCTTTCATAGTTTCTTGTGACTTTTGTTGATGTCAGGTACGTGTGGAGCGATCGAAACTTCATGCACACTTCCTTTGATATTATAGAGGGTGCCAAAACAGCTTTCTGTCGCTTTGGCCCAAGGTTGCTGTTCCACGTGATTTTTTATGATGTGAATCCAGGTCTACGTGAATATCACTGGCAAGTCTGAGGCTTCCCACCAGACAATTCTAATATATAAATTTTGAGAATCCCCAAGTCTTGAGCTGCCCTGGCCATGGCTGCCGGATCTTAAGCCGAATGCCCTCGCAGGCAATGTACCGATCAGTTCCTGTTGACAATTGCCGCATTGAGAAAGCAATGACAAATCAACCGACAATGGTCTTATGTTTAATGTTCTGGCCAATTGGTCATGACACTGTCATCCAGTTCAATATCCAGTTCAATGGGCCCTTGGCTTGGATGACGGGTGTTCAGTATCATTTCAATAATACTTACAGTATCTGTCCATGTGCTCATGTCGAAATTTCGACCGATTTGACTTGCTCGCGACTTTGTGTATTTGTGTGTTCCCCAACAAACATCGGCAGACTTCACTTCTGGCGGGCCTCCTTCTGGCAGTTATATAAGTTATATTACTTGTTACTAGTAGCTTCTTGTTCCACCATATTTGCCAAGTCGACTGACCTAGGCATCACTACCGTCACTCTGGACGGGTAGTGAAAAACGGGAGCTAAGGAAACGTGACAAAGACACAAACTAATTAAGCACCGTGGTCAACAATAGCGAAGTTCCAGGACAGCAAGGAATTGCCCGCGCCAGCAAACAACAAATCGGCAAAGTGCCGGAGTTCCTTTTCACTGATGTAAGGCCTTGCACCAAAAATAGCCCCCCGTGGCAGCGCCCAACCACAGGCATGGTGGCCATCACGCTTATGGATACCAGGGAGTAAGCATTGACCCTCAATGGCAAAAATCTCGCAGCACCATTTCTTGACACCTCTCACCAAGGATCCAAAGGTGTCCGTAGCCTCAAACGAGGTGAGGGAAAAACGTCGTGACAAGAGAATGTGAGCAATCTCCACATACGCAATGGAGAGGTCAGGATGAATTTTCCATCGCAACGACTGCAAGAATCGCCCAAAAATCTCATCGTCCTCATTGGGGCATATAGTATGGAGCTTCGAGAAAGCAGGGCAACACTTCTTGGCCATCCACTCAAAGTCAGCTTCGACCGAGTGCCAATCCCATGTTGGAAATCTGGATTTGTGCTCATCACAGATATCGGACTGCTGGTTCTCCTCAATGGTTTGGAAAACCTTCTTGACAATACCCTCGGACCCAATGATCTGATTTAAGGACACCAGGGCCGCTTGCCGGCGATGTGCTGCGGCAAAGACTGTTGGCCACAAGTCCACATTGATGATGGCCTGTTGGGATGCAACACGTTTAGCCTCTTCATCAGCCAGTCTGTTGGCCCGCACCTTCCAGCCGGCTCCGCAGGGGCGATGGCCGCGATTGGTTTGTGATCGCAGGTGTGTGCGGGCATCCACTCAAGGTGAACCGGACACTCACAAAGTTGCAACTTCAGCTTCCAAACACGGTGGATCTCCAGCCAGATAGGTCGGTGACTCCAATGCTCTGGAATAGTGTGGCACGCACACATTTTGGCAAACAAGTCAACAATAGTCTGGCAATCAGTAACCAGATGGAGACATGCTGGAGCAATGATAATCGCAACCGCAAGGGCGAAAAGCTCCGCGGTATACGAAGCGAGTGCAACATGTCTGACAGGCCCTGACTTGATCAGGTGCTCATTTTGGTCATAGATGGCAAAGGCAGCTGTGGTCAACCAATACGATTCTTGTTTCAAGACAGAACCGTCCGAGAACCACACAATGCTGGGAGCAACAGGATCAAAAAGGCACTGGTCATAGCTCGGCAGTGTAGAAAGCTGGATTCGATGAGTGACAACGCAACTCGGATGTTCAACGATGCCTAAACCGCAGAAATTTGGCCCCAATTCATGGCTCTGGAGGCAGGTGAGGAAGCTGGGCGCCGCCGGGCAGTCGCGGACAATGTGCAGTAGCGACTCCTTAGTGTCATGGCAGTAACGGCATGCTGCAGAGTCTATGAAGCCAGCAGCGGCACGACGATCATTGGTGATCGTACATCCTACGATTTGTGCGTCAAAGTGGGCAACTAAAGTTTTATGGGGGGCACTGGACTGCGTGCCACCTTTGAAAGCAGTAGAAAGCCCGAAGTCAAGGAGGCCGGAAGGCTTCTTGACATCCTTTCGTGAATTATAATTGACTGAGTCATAACAAAATTGCCTTCCTAAGGTGTGAAGGAGCCCTTTCAAATCTTTCGGGGAAACATCCAGAATAGAGAATTGCGAGGCGCCTAAACCAATATTCATATCAGGCAACAAGGTACACCTGAACACTGTCAAAGCATCACGAAAATGCGCAAGCAGTGAATGTTTTCGTGCGGCGGAGGCATGAAACAAGGCCCTTAAGCGCTCCAACAAAGGGGGGTGCCTGTGAATTGCTCGCCACAGATTCCTAACAGTGACATAGGCTCTTGCAACACGTGGGTGCACAAAACATGGGTTGCACAGAAAGGCAAAAAGAAGCATACGAGCCCTCCAATGGGGTCGCCGCCCCCAAATGGTATTGGCAATCTCGTTTTCGATCTTTGCGCAAGTCAGTTTTGGGATGGAAGAAATATCGGCCGCAAAAGTGCATTGGGGAATGACCTTGGACGCAATCAACTGGCACTTAGTTTTGAGGGGTACGGGGAGGGCAGCAATATTCTTAGCATCATTGCAAATCTTCACGGCCTTGTGGTCGGGAAAATGAAACGCACTCCGTTGGGCCGTGTACATCTTAGCCCCAAGTGCATCAAACTCCAAAACGACGGGGATGGTGGGAAACAATTGTTTTGCAGTTTTTCTCGCTTTGGAACTGGTGGCCCATAGGGAACTTTTGTCAGCATTTAACTTTTGGCCAATCAGTAAGTTCCACTGTTCAGTAACTTGCAATGCCTTTTCTAAATAATGAATGCGAGAAAGTCGAACCCACAAGTACGCATCATCAATGAAAACACGGCACGTGACATGTGGCAGGAGTGCAATGAATCTCGACCAAACTGCCATGTGGGCATTGATTGCAAGGAGGGAAAGGCTGCAGCCCTGAGCAACACCGTTAGCAGCGGTTGTGGCGGTACTAGAAACCCAACCCCTGTAGGACAGATGCCGTTTGAGGGAAGCATACATTTTGACAAAGACATTCACAACACCACGTGGTAGCCCCAAGGCTAAAAAGAGTGCAGCAGCAAAGTCAGGGACTATCCTGTCGAAACACTTAGATTGATCGAGCTTAATACCAACTAGCGGGTCGTCAGAGGCGATCGCTTCATCGATTTCAAGCCGGATATCAGTACTTACATCGGACATGTCCCGATGACGTATGCCCCCACACAGAACTTTGGGGAAGACAGTGTTTTGCCACTGTTGTAGCTGGCGGAACCTTGTTCCAGTGTAAGCCAAGAGCATAGGGGAGAGAATCGTGATGAGCCTTTTATTTAAGGGAGAAGAGGGCCCTGGCATGTTCAAGATGGCCTGCTTGGCGCGGGTGAGGACATCAGGCATGACCGCATTGCAATCTTCTTCCAAGGCACAAAAGAAATCAGCGATGACATCGCAACATGCTCTCGGCAACATCTGCAAATCGCACGTGCGCCACCCATCTAATCCGGGAGCGGCGAGTGGGTTCCTACGCATGATGGTTTCCTCAATGTCGGCTCCCGTCAAAGCAGGAAGTTCAAAGGGAGGGATGTCATGGTCTAAGTACGGCCAAACAACATTGAGCATCTGCACAGGATCGTGTCTAAGCGTGTTGGCACTAAAGATTGAGTCCCAATCACTAGCGATGGTAGAGATGGCATCCTGGGGGTTAAAGATGATGTTACCATCAGAGTCAAGAACTAGGTTGGCGGGTTCATCCAAACATTTGTTTTTGAGATGATGGAAAATAAACTGTTTAGACCCCTTGGCAGATTCACGGACACTAGACTTCCAAGCCGAAATGCGGGCGTTTTTCTTTCGAAGCTCCCAAGCAATGGCCTCGTTTTTGACCCATTGGATGTTGTGAAAGAGGTCAACCAGAGTCACTGAAAAGGGCTCGGTCCACACGACCGGCGACTGGAGGTCCCTAAGGGAATGCCAAACTTTCTTAGTGGTGCGCTGAAAAATGATGGCGTCTCTAAGGGTATTGGAAGGTCGGAGTAACCGAGTCTCAAGTTCCCACAATCGGCGCAGGGTTTTGAACAGGCGAGAACCCTTCAACGTGGCAGCGGAGCCAGAAGGAAGCTGTCCAGGACAAACCCGCTTCTTCGTGAAAAGTGGGAGCATCCCTCGTTTGCGGGCTCCACAACCCCAGAAAGAACCATTATCCAAAAGAGTTCGAAGGCAAAAATCATTCACAAGCTGCCACTTGGCAGGGAAATCCGTTGTTTGGGAATAGACCTCCGCAAAAGAATCATCCCACAATGCTGCAGCGGCTTGATGCTGATTACTACAAACGCTCTCAGGCTGTCTAGTCCATTGGGAATGGTCAAGGGCCGCAAATTTGGCGTGTACCTCCCCGATTTGATGGATTGGTGCCCAAGCGAAAGTTGCACGAATTGGGCGGTGTTGGATGCCATGACCGAAGAGCAGCAAAAGCAACCC